GTCCCTTCTCTATTCTCCTCTTGGGATTTTGGGCATGCATGCACATGTGCCCAGTTTAATCCTCAAGCTACCAGGTCTGGGACTTGAACTACAGTCAGCTATGTGGGAGTTCAACATCTTAACCACCACGCCACCTGCTGGCGCACCAGATAATTTTTTAAATCTATTCATTTCTTTCTTTTTTTTTTTTTTTTGGAGAGATTTTCACTATACGGCGCGTGCGCTTGCCAGACAGACAGAGAAAGACAGAGAGATAGAAAGCGAGAAATCACCCCCCAGGGGGGATGGTCATGCCGCAATCCCTTCTCCTCCATTCTCCTCTCGGGATCTTGGGCACGCACGCACACGCGCCCGGCGTGAGTTTTAAGCCACCAGGTCCGGGACGCGAACCGCAGTCGACTACGTGGGAGTCCAACGACATAGCCATTACGCTAACTGCTGGTTCCCAAAATCTATTTATTTCTTGAGCTTAGAGAGACAGATGGACACACACAGACACACAGACACGTGTACCCTTGACAAAGTCCCATGACACTGTGACACCTCTCCCCCCACCAAGTCTCTCAGTCAGCTAGGATCACAAGCATGCACATAGCTGGTATGTTTTGAGTCACCCTAGGATTAGTTTTTGTTTTTTAGAGAGAATTTTACCATAGGGTGCATACATTTGCCGGAGAGACAGAGAAAGACAGAAAGCAAGAAATCACACACACACACACACAGCGGGGATGGCCAGGCTATGATCCCTTCTCCATTCTCCTCTCACGATGTTAGGCACACACGCACACACGGCCAGTGAGAGTTAAGGCCGCCAGTTCCAGGACTCCAAACGCAATCGCCTACGTGGGAGTCCAGCAACGTAACCATTACGCCAGTTGCTGGTCCCCGACCCTAGACTTGAATACCTGCTTTCCATGTGGCTTCAGCACTGCAAAGCTGCACCCCACCGCCTGCACCACTGCAGCTGGGTGTCATCAGATCATTTTGACACATTTCATCTATAGAGTATCTTTTTCATTCATTTTGAGAACTTTCTTGTTTCTAGTATGATGAATGATTTTTGGTCAAAATGTGGACATTTTGGGTATTATGTTATGACTGTATCTTATTTAAATTTCTGTATTCACCAGTTTCCTTTTTCTTTTTTTCTTTTCTTTTTTTTTTCTTTTTTTTTTTTTGACAACGTTCTGGCAAGAGACGGGGCAGGATGTTCCCAATTATTGCCAGGTCAGTGTAAAAGTCAACTCAGCCTGTAGACACTTGAGGGAGCTCTTTATTTGCAAGCTTTCTTTCTTTTCTTTCTTTCTTTTTTTCTTCCTTCTTCTATTTTTTTTTTTCGTAAGAGAGATTTTTGCTATGGGGTATGTGTGTTCACTGGAGAGACAGAGAGAGACAGAGAGACAGAAAGAGAGAAATCATCCCCAGGGAGGATGGCCCTGCCGCAATCCCTTCTCCATTC